ACACACGCAGGAGCGGAGGCACCGGCTGCGACGGCGGCCGGGAAGCCGGCGGCAGCGACGGAGACGCCGACAGAGGCACCTACACCGGCAGCGGCAGCGACGGAGGAACCGGCAGCGACAGCGTCGAAAGAACCGGCAGCGGACACGGAAACAGCGACGCCCGCAGCGCGGCCACCAGCCGAGGCCATACGGAGGAGCCATATGGAACAGCAGCACAGCCGGCGAGCAGCAGCAGAGGCGCGACGCGAGGAGGAGCGGCGACGCGGGGAGGAGCGGCGACGCGAGGAGGAGGCCCGAAGGAAGGCAGCAGAGAAGGCGCAAAGGGAGGCGGCGCTGAACAAGGTCATAATGCGGGAGGCACGGGACGCCCTGCAGCGGCAGATGGAGGCTGCGCGGCGTGAAGCCGAAGCCCACGAGGGGAACGAGAAGGAGGCTCCGCCTCCTCCCAGGTTCTTACAGGTGTAGACGGGCCTGCAGTGGCCCCCGCAGTCGCCGCCACCAAAATCGCCACCACCGAATTCACCGCCACAACAGTCGTCGCCACGACGGCAGGAGTCACCGAAGGAGCCGCCACAGGAACAGGCACAGCAGCCCCAGTGGGGTGGTCCGGAGAAGGCGGTATGCGGGCAATTTGTGTCGCAAAGCGTTCACACGGCAGTGAGGAGTGGCATGGTATGGCACCACCAAACGATACACATCACGTGGGCGTCGGGAACCGCACCGTCGGATATAGCCACTATATCGTAATCTGCCAGTAAATATCCCTGTTTCACTCTAACTCTGAAGTTTCTTATCGGATCAGGACATGCCACGCCTCCTAGCCATCTGTACAACGTCCTGATTGTGTCAATGCCTTCTGGAGAATGTGCAGGATCTTTTGCAATCAATTTGCCTACGAAGCCCACGAAGGGAACGAGGAGGAGGCTTTGCCTCCTCCGAGGTTCTTAAAGGTGAAGACGGGCCTGGTTGACAGACCGGCGGGGCAGCAGCAGCCACAACAGGGTGAAGAGGCACCCTTATGGGAACGCCGGCATCCTGAGCCACCGTCGCAGCCACAGAGCACGCAACAGCCAATGCCCCCGCAGTCGCCGCCACCAAAATCGCCACCACCGAATTCACCGCCACAACAGTCGTCGCCACGACGGCAGGAATCACCGAAGGAGCCGCCACAGGAACAGGCACAGCAGCACCAGTGGGGTGGTCCGGAGAACGCGGTATGCGGGCAATTTGTGTCGCAAAGCGTTCACACGGCAGTGAGAAGTGGCATGGTATGGCACCACCAAACGATACACATCACGTGGGCGTCGGGAACCGCACCGTCGGATATAGCCACTATAACGTAATCTGCCAGTAAATATCCCTGTTTCACTCTAACTCTGAAGTTTCTTATCGGATCAGGACATGCCACGCCTCCTAGCCATCTGTACAACGTCCTGATTGTGTCAATGCCTTCTGGAGAATGTGCAGGATCTTTTGCAATCAATTTGCCTACGAAGCCCACGAAGGGAACGAGGAGGAGGCTTTGCCTCCTCCGAGGTTCTTAAAGGTGAAGACGGGCCTGGTTGACAGACCGGCGGGGCAGCAGCAGCCACAACAGGGTGAAGAGGCACCCTTATGGGAACGCCGGCATCCTGAGCCACCGTCGCAGCCACAGAGCACGCAACAGCCAATGCCCCCGCAGTCGCCGCCACCAAAATCGCCACCACCGAATTCACCGCCACAACAGTCGTCGCCACGACGGCAGGAGTCACCGAAGGAGCCACCACAGGAACAGGCACAGCAGCCCCAGTGGGGTGGTCCGGAGAACGCGGTATGCGGGCAATTTGTGTCGCAAAGCGTTCACACGGCAGTGAGGAGTGTGTGAAGGAGCAGACGCTCCCCCACATTATTTTTTCACCATGAAGGATCTCTTATTATTATTTACTATTATTTTGTTATTATTATGTTTTATTTTCATTATTAGGTTAAGTGACGGCATTTGTTAGTAGTTAAGCTATGGCATTAATCAAAATTAGTTTAAGTACTTGCTCGGTCGTGACTTAGATGGGAGGGAAAAGCACAGTGATCGCTCGGGCATCACTGATAGCACTGATAAAAGCTCCAGAGTTGAGACACGAACCTCAACCACCAACATCAGCACAGAGCGGAGACACGAACCTCAACCACCAACATCTGTACAGAGAGCGGGAGAGCAGAGAGCGAAAGCTCAACCACCAGCACAACAAGGGTGGGTTTATAAGATCGCAAGCACATGGAAAACGGGAGATATATTCCAGACCAGCGAGCTGAACGGACGTGCCAGTGGAAGCAGCCAAGAAGACGAAGAAGAAGACAGATTTTGACGGCGAGCTAGGAAAGGGTGAGCAAGTCTCACCGTCGTGAGGAAGATGGCTGGCGAGCGGTGCGGTTAGGCAGGAGAAGAGGAAGAAGAAGAGATAAAATAAAAATGGAACTTAAATAACTACCAGCGCGGCATCCTCTGTTGATCTGTGCGTTTCCCCCCCCCTTGCCCTGTAGTTTTTCCAGAGGTGCCGCCCGGCGATTGCCCAGGCATCCTTTTTTTTTTGTATTCATTTAATGGCTTCCTCAATAGTGCTTATACCTAAGAACAATACAATGTGATACGAACAGTTGGGGGACAGATGGGGTAGGGGTCGTGCGACTAGCGGTACTGCCGCAAGGCATTGCTTCGCCCGCGCGGAGACACCTACTCCGTTTGCTCCTTCCGCCTTCTCTCCCATGGCCCTGAGCGTTTTCATAACGCTCGCGGCGAACACCGCGGCAGCTTCCCAGATCCTCTGGTCTGCCAGCATCAGCGGCACCAGGTTGTTGACGCATATTGCAGACCCTGCAATGGCTTCAAGCTCCTGTCGCTCGTATGCGAACCGGTGGCACTCGAAGAGGACGTGCTGAGCGTCCTCCACTATGCCAGAGCCGCACTCCGGGCACCAGTCCTCCGTATCGTGCCCAAAGCGCTTGAGGTAGCTTCGGAAGCAGCCATGCCCGCTCAGCGACTGGGTTAGGTAGTGGTCTCCCTGCCCGTGCTTCCTTCCGACCCAGGACGAGATGTGTGGGATGAGGAGTGCGTCCAGCGCCCTTTTTGGGAGCTGTCCCTCCTCCTCTGCCATTTCTCCATGCTGCTCCTTCTAGCGGCAGCCTTCAGCTCTGCCTTGCTGATTCCTGCTTCGTCGTCCTGCAGGGCGTCGTAAATTTCTCTGCGCTCCCGGATCAGCTCCCCTAGAGGGAATATGCCCGGCGATGACCAGCGCTGCCTCGTCCCGAGATGGTCCGGAACGCGCATGCGATCCTGATGGCGCATAGCCGATACGTGGCCTCCAGCCCCCGCATATAGCTTTTCACCGTTGCGGCCTTCGCCCACCCCCGGCGCGGCGTAGAGCATTTGCGCCGTTACAACGCTCGTCAGCAGCTTCCTCGTTGCCTGTTTTGGGCCTCTGGTGTTGAGCAGCAACCTCGAGCGCGATCCTACGGTTCCGCTGGCCTTCTTGTTGATGTACTCCAGGTGCTCCTTGAAGGATAGCCTCGTGTCTATGTGGACACCCAGGTATTTAATCGACCTTTGGGAGGTGATCGTGGTCCCTCCGACTTGCACGATGGCAGTCTCCACCGCTTTGCGGCTCGATATGAGCACAGCCTCCGTCTTGTGGGCCGCCAGCTCGAGGCCTGCTACCGCTAGCCACGATTCCACGGCTTGGATAGCCTCGTTTGCGAGGTTTTCCACGGCGGCAAGGTCCTTTGCGACCACCACTATCGCGACATCGTCCGCGAAGCCTACCTAGCTTGTGCTGGCTGGCATCGACAACCTCAAAACTCCATCGTACATGGCGTTCCAGAGCAGGCGTCCCAAAACGGAGCCCTGCGGGACTCCGGCTGAGACTTCGTATGCTCTGGAACCCAGACTCGTGTCCATCGTGAGTACCCTGGCGCTGAAATAGCTGTAAGCTATATTCGGCAGGTACCCCGGGATGTTGAAGCTTCTGAGGGCCTCCAGCGTTCGGCCCCAATCGGCAGAGTTAAAGGCGTTCCTTACATCCAGCGTCACCACCAGACAGTAGGACTTGCTTCCACCTCTCCACCTGGTTCCCGCGCATGCCTCCTTTGCCGTTTCTTACCACTCTTGAGATGGCGTCCAGCGTTGACTTCCCCTTCCTGAAGCCGTATTGGCCCGGGGAGAGACCGCCAGCCGCTTCGATGGCTGCACTCAGCCTCGTTGCAACCACCTTCTCGAAGACCTTCCCGATGGTGTCCAGCAGACAGATGGGCCTGTAGGAGGAGGCCTCTCCTGGTGGCTTGCCCGGCTTGGCCAGAAGTAGCAGCCGCTGCCTCTTCCACCTCTCGGGGAACGTGCCCTCCTGTAGGCACTGGTTAAACAGGCCAGCAACCTCCGTCGGGAGCAGCGCTAGAGCCAGCTTTACCCTATAGTTTCCCGGGGGTGCCGCCCGGCGACTGCCCAGGCATCCTCTGGCTATCTATGGCTGTTTCACTTCCCCTCACAGACCTGTACCTTCCCCGAAGTGCCGCCCGGCGACTGCCCAGGTATCTTTGGGAGGGTCTCTGCGCCTACTCTCCTTCCCCTTGCCCTGTAGTTTCCCCGAGGTGCCGCCCGGCGACTGCCCAGGCATCCTCTGGCTATCTATGGCTGTTTCCCTTCCCCCCGCAGACCTGTACCTTCCCCGAAGTGCCGCCCGGCGACTGCCCAGGTATCTTTGGGGAGTCTCTGCGCCAACTCTCCTTCCCCTTGCCCTGTAGCTTCCCTTAGGTGCCGCCCGGCGACTGCCCAGGCACTCTACAGAATATCTCGACCGTTCTACCCCCCCTTTCGCACGTTTCCCTTGGCCTTGGCATCCCCGAGACGAAATCTCCGTCCCATGGCCACTCATGACTCGGAGTCCCGGCAAATTATAAATATGGCTGTAATTTCGACCCTGGCTTGACTGAGAGTTATACCCCAGCCTAGATCGCATCCTTACAAGTGGCATGGTATGGCACCACCAAACGATACAGATCACGTAGGCGTCGGGACCCGCACCGTCGGAGGCGCAGCAAGACCGGAAGGTATGGGAGGAGGAGCCAGGAGCCGCGAAGCAACGCGCGCGATCCACGGCAGCACCGAAGGCAGGCAGAGGAGACGGCGCCGGAGGCACGGGAGCCAGCGACAGCGGCAGCGGGAGCACACGCAGCAGCGGAGCCACCGGCTGCGACGGCGGCCGGGAAGCCGGCGGCAGCGACGGAGACGCCGACAGAGGCACCTACACCGGCAGCGGCAGCGACGGAGGAACCGGCAGCGACAGCGTCGAAGAACCGGCAGCGGACACGGAAACAGCGACGCCCGCAGCGCGGCCACCAGCCGAGGCCATACGGAGGAGCCATATGGAACAGCAGCACAGCCGGCGAGCAGCAGCAGAGGCGCGACGCGAGGAGGAGCGGCGACGCGGGGAGGAGCGGCGACGCGAGGAGGAGGCCCGAAGGAAGGCAGCAGAGAAGGCGCAAATGGAGGCGGCGCTGAACAAGGTCATAATGCGGGAGGCACGGGACGCCCTGCAGCGGCAGATGGAGGCTGCGCGGCGTGAAGCCGAAGCCCACGAGGGGAACGAGGAGGAGGCTTTGCCTCCTCCGAGGTTCTTAAAGGTGAAGACGGGCCTGGTTGACAGACCGGCGGGGCAGCAGCAGCCACAACAGGGTGAAGAGGCACCCTTATGGGAACGCCGGCATCCTGAGCCACCGTCGCAGCCACAGAGCACGCAACAGCCAATGCCCCCGCAGTCGCCGCCACCAAAATCTCCACCACCGAATTCACCGCCACAACAGTCGTCGCCACGACGGCAGGAATCACCGAATGAGCCGCCACAGGAACAGGCACAGCAGCCCCAGTGGGGTGGTCCGGAGAACGCGGTATGCGGGCAATTTGTGTCGCAAAGCGTTCACACGGCAGTGAGAAGTGGCATGGTATGGCACCACCAAACGATACACATCACGTGGGCGTCGGGAACCGCACCGTCGGATATAGCCACTATAACGTAATCTGCCAGTAAATATCCCTGTTTCACTCTAACTCTGAAGTTTCTTATCGGATCAGGACATGCCACGCCTCCTAGCCATCTGTACAACGTCCTGATTGTGTCAATGGCTTCTGGAGAATGTGCAGGATCTTTTGCAATCAATTTGCCTACGAAGCCCACGAAGGGAACGAGGAGGAGGCTTTGCCTCCTCCGAGGTTCTTAAAGGTGAAGACGGGCCTGGTTGACAGAACGGCGGGGCAGCAGCAGCCACAACAGGGTGAAGGGGCACCCTTATGGGAACGCCGGCATCCTGAGCCACCGTCGCAGCCACAGAGCACGCAACAGCCAATGCCCCCGCAGTCGCCGCCACCAAAATCGCCACCACCGAATTCACCGCCACAACAGTCGTCGCCACGACGGCAGGAATCACCGAAGGAGCCGCCACAGGAACAGGCACAGCAGCCCCAGTGGGGTGGTCCGGAGAACGCGGTATGCGGGCAATTTGTGTCGCAAAGCGTTCACACGGCAGTGAGGAGTGTGTGAAGGAGCAGACGCTCCCCCACATAATTTTTTCACCATGAAGGATCTCTTATTATTATTTACTATTATTTTGTTATTATTATGTTTTATTTTCATTATAAGGTTAAGTGACGGCATTTGTTAGTAGTTAAGCTATGGCATTAATCAAAATTAGTTTAAGTACTTGCTCGGTCGTGACTTAGATGGGAGGGAAAAGCACAGTGATCGCTCGGGCATCACTGATAGCACTGATAAAAGCTCCAGAGTTGAGACACGAACCTCAACCACCAACATCAGCACAGAGCGGAGACACGAACCTCAACCACCAACATCTGTACAGAGAGCGGGAGAGCAGAGAGCGAAAGCTCAACCACCAGCACAACAAGGGTGGGTTTATAAGATCGCAAGCACATGGAAAACGGGAGATATATTCCAGACCAGCGAGCTGAACGGACGTGCCAGTGGAAGCAGCCAAGAAGACGAAGAAGAAGACAGATTTTGACGGCGAGCTAGGAAAGGGGTGAGCAAGTCTCACCGTCGTGAGGAAGATGGCTGGCGAGCGGTGTTAGGCAGGAGAAGAGGAAGAAGAAGAGATAAAATAAAAATGGAACTTAAATAACTACCAGCGCGGCATCCTCTGTTGATCTGTGCGTTTTCCCCTGACCCTGAGCGTTTTCATAACGCTCGCGGCGAACACCGCGGCAGCTTCCCAGATCCTCTGGTCTGCCAGCATCAGCGGCACCAGGTTGTTGACGCATATTGCAGACCCTGCAATGGCTTCAAGCTCCTGTCGCTCGTATGCGAACCGGTGGCACTCGAAGAGGACGTGCTGAGCGTCCTCCACTATGCCAGAGCCGCACTCCGGGCACCAGTCCTCCGTATCGTGCCCAAAGCGCTTGAGGTAGCTTCGGAAGCAGCCATGCCCGCTCAGCGACTGGGTTAGGTAGTGGTCTACCTGCCCGTGCTTCCTTCCGACCCAGGACGAGATGTGTGGGATGAGGGAGTGCGTCCAGCGCCCTTTTTGGGAGCTGTCCCTCCTCCTCTGCCATTTCTCCATGCTGCTCCTTCTAGCGGCAGCCTTCAGCTCTGCCTTGCTGATTCCTGCTTCGTCGTCCTGCAGGGCGTCGTAAATTTCTCTGCGCTCCCGGATCAGCTCCCCTAGAGGAATATGCCCGGCGATGACCAGCGCTGCCTCGTCCGAGATGGTCCGGAACGCGCATGCGATCCTGATGGCGCATAGCCGATACGTGGCCTCCAGCCCCCGCATATAGCTTTTCACCGTTGCGGCCTTCGCCCACACCGGCGCGGCGTAGAGCATTTGCGCCGTTACAACGCTCGTCAGCAGCTTCCTCGTTGCCTGTTTTGGGCCTCTGGTGTTGAGCAGCAACCTCGAGCGCGATCCTACGGTTCCGCTGGCCTTCTTGTTGATGTACTCCAGGTGCTCCTTGAAGGATAGCCTCGTGTCTATGTGGACACCCAGGTATTTAATCGACCTTTGGGAGGTGATCGTGGTCCCTCCGACTTGTACGATGGCAGTCTCCACCGCTTTGCGGCTCGATATGAGCACAGCCTCCGTCTTGTGGGCCGCCAGCTCGAGGCCTGCTACCGCTAGCCACGATTCCACGGCTTGGATAGCCTCGTTTGCGAGGTTTTCCACGGCGGCAAGGTCCTTTGCGACCACCACTATCGCGACATCGTCCGCGAAGCCTACCAAGCTTGTGCTGGCTGGCATCGACAACCTCAAAACTCCATCGTACATGGCGTTCCAGAGCAGGGGTCCCAAAACGGAGCCCTGCGGGACTCCGGCTGAGACTTCGTATGCTCTGGAACCCAGACTCGTGTCCATCGTGAGTACCCTGGCGCTGAAATAGCTGTAAGCTATTCGGCAGGTACCCCGGGATGTTGAAGCTTCTGAGGGCCTCCAGCGTTCGGCCCCAATCGGCAGAGTTGAAGGCGTTCCTTACATCCAGCGTCACCACCAGACAGTAGGACTTGCTTCCACCTCTCCACCTGGTTCCCGCGCATGCCTCCTTTGCCATTTCTACCACTCTTGAGATGGCGTCCAGCGTTGACTTCCCCTTCCTGAAGCCGTATTGGCCCGGGGAGAGACCGCCAGCCGCTTCGATGGCTGCACTCAGCCTCGTTGCAACCACCTTCTCGAAGACCTTCCCGATGGTGTCCAGCAGACAGATGGGCCTGTAGGAGGAGGCCTCTCCTGGTGGCTTGCCCGGCTTGGCCAGAAGTAGCAGCCGCTGCCTCTTCCACCTCTCGGGGAACGTGCCCTCCTGTAGGCACTGGTTAAACAGGCCAGCAACCTCCGTCGGGAGCAGCGCTAGCGCCAGCTTTACCCTATAGTTTCCCGGGGGTGCCGCCCGGCGACTGCCCAGGCATCCTCTGGCTATCTATGGCTGTTTCCCTTCCCCCCGCAGACCTGTACCTTCCCCGAAGTGCCGCCCGGCGACTGCCCAGGTATCTTTGGGGAGTCTCTGCGCCAACTCTCATTCCCCTTGCCCTGTAGCTTCCCTTAGGTGCCGCCCGTCGACTGCCCAGGCACTCTACAGAATATCTCGACCGTTCTACCCCCCCTTTCGCACGTTTCCCTTGGCCTTGGCATCCCCGAGACGAAATCTCCGTCCCATGGCCACTCATGACTCGGAGTCCCGGCAAACCGAAGAAGGCATGCAGAGGAGACGGCGCCGGAGGCACGGGAGCCAGCGACAGCGGCAGCGGGATCACACGCAGCAGCGGAGGCACCGGCTGCGACGGCGGCCGGGAAGCCGGCGGCAGCGACGGAGACGCCGACAGAGGCACCGACACCGGCAGCGGCAGCGACGGAGGAACCGGCAGCGACAGCGTCGAAAGAACCGGCAGCGGACACGGAAACAGCGACGCCCGCAACGCGGCCACCAGCCGAGGCCATACGGAGGAGCCATATGGAACAGCAGCACAGCCGGCGAGCAGCAGCAGAGGCGCGACGCGAGGAGGAGCGGCGACGCGGGGAGGAGCGGCGACGCGAGGAGGAGGCCCGAAGGAAGGCAGCAGAGAAGGCGCAAAGGGAGGCGGCGCTGAACAAGGTCATAATGCGGGAGGCACGGGACGCCCTGCAGCGGCAGATGGAGGCTGCGCGGCGTGAAGCCGAAGCCCACGAGGGGAACGAGAAGGAGGCTCCGCCTCCTCCGAGGTTCTTACAGGTGAAGACGGGCCTGCAGTGGCCCCCGCAGTCGCCGCCACCAAAATTGCCACCACCGAATTCACCGCCACAACAGTCGTCGCCACGACGGCAGGAGTCACCGAAGGAGCCGCCACAGGAACAGGCACAGCAGCCCCAGTGGGGTGGTCCGGAGAAGGCGGTATGCGGGCAATTTGTGTCGCAAAGCGTTCACACGGCAGTGAGGAGTGGCATGGTATGGCACCACCAAACGATACACATCACGTGGGCGTCGGGAACCGCACCGTCGGATATAGCCACTATAACGTAATCTGCCAGTAAATATCCCTGTTTCACTCTAACTCTGAAGTTTCTTATCGGATCAGGACATGCCACGCCTCCTAGCCATCTGTACAACGTCCTGATTGTGTCAATGCCTTCTGGAGAATGTGCAGGATCTTTTGCAATCAATTTGCCTACGAAGCCCACGAAGGGAACGAGGAGGAGGCTTTGCCTCCTCCGAGGTTCTTAAAGGTGAAGACGGTCCTGGTTGACAGACCGGCGGGGCAGCAGCAGCCACAACAGGGTGAAGAGGCACCCTTATGGGAACGCCGGCATCCTGAGCCACCGTCGCAGCCACAGAGCACGCAACAGCCAATGCCCCCACAGTCGCCGCCACCAAAATCGCCACCACCGAATTCACCGCCACAACAGTCGTCGCCACGACGGCAGGAATCACCGAAGGAGCCACCACAGGAACAGGCACAGCAGCCCCAGTGGGGTGGTCCGGAGAACGCGGTATGCGGGCAATTTGTGTCGCAAAGCGTTCACACGGCAGTGAGGAGTGGCATGGTATGGCACCACCAAACGATACACATCACGTGGGCGTCGGGAACCGCACCGTCGGAGGCGCAGCAAGACCGGAAGGCATGGGAGGAGGAGCCAGGAGCCGCGAAGCAACGCGCGCGATCCACGGCAGCACCGAAGGCTGGCAGAGGAGACGGCGTCGGAGGCACGGGAGCAGGTGAAGGTGAAGACGGGCCTGGTTGACAGAACGGCGGGGCAGCAGCAGCCACAACAGGGTGAAGAGGCACCCTTATGGGAACGCCGGCATCCTGAGCCACCGTCGCAGCCACAGAGCACGCAACAGCCAATGCCCCCGCAGTCGCCGCCACCAAAATCGCCACCACCGAATTCACCGCCACAACAGTCGTCGCCACGACGGCAGGAATCACCGAAGGAGCCACCACAGGAACAGGCACAGCAGCCCCAGTGGGGTGGTCCGGAGAACGCGGTATGCGGGCAATTTGTGTCGCAAAGCGTTCACACGGCAGTGAGGAGTGGCATGATATGGCACCACCAAACGATACACATCACGTGGGCGTCGGGAACCGCACCGTCGGATATAGCCACTATAACGTAATCTGCCAGTAAATATCCCTGTTTCACTCTAACTCTGAAGTTTCTTATCGGATCAGGACATGCCACGCCTCCTAGCCATCTGTACAACGTCCTGATTGTGTCAATGCCTTCTGGAGAATGTGCAGGATCTTTTGCAATAAATTTGCCTACGAAGCCCACGAAGGGAACGAGGAGGAGGCTTTGCCTACTCCGAGGTTCTTAAAGGTGAAGACGGGCCTGGTTGACAGACCGGCGGGGCAGCAGCAGCCACAACAGGGTGAAGAGGCACCCTTATGGGAACGCCGGCATCCTGAGCCACCGTCGCAGCCACAGAGCACGCAACAGCCAATGCCCCCGCAGTCGCCGCCACCAAAATCGCCACCACCGAATTCACCGCCACAACAGTCGTCGCCACGACGGCAGGAATCACCGAAGGAGCCGCCACAGGAACAGGCACAGCAGCCCCAGTGGGGTGGTCCGGAGAACGCGGTATGCGGGCAATTTGTGTCGCAAAGCGTTCACACGGCAGTGAGGAGTGGCATGGTATGGCACCACCAAACGATACACATCACGTGGGCGTCGGGAACCGCACCGTCGGATATAGCCACTATAACGTAATCTGCCAGTAAATATCCCTGTTTCACTCTAACTCTGAAGTTTCTTATCGGATCAGGACATGCCACGCCTCCTAGCCATCTGTACAACGTCCTGATTGTGTCAATGCCTTCTGGAGAATGTGCAGGATCTTTTGCAATCAATTTGCCTACGAAGCCCACGAAGGGAACGAGGAGGAGGCTTTGCCTCCTCCGAGGTTCTTAAAGGTGAAGACGGTCCTGGTTGACAGACCGGCGGGGCAGCAGCAGCCACAACAGGGTGAAGAGGCACCCTTATGGGAACGCCGGCATCCTGAGCCACCGTCGCAGCCACAGAGCACGCAACAGCCAATGCCCCCACAGTCGCCGCCACCAAAATCGCCACCACCGAATTCACCGCCACAACAGTCGTCGCCACGACGGCAGGAGTCACCGAAGGAGCCGCCACAGGAACAGGCGGAGGCGCAGCAAGACCGGAAGGTATGGGAGGAGGAGCCGCGAAGCAACGCGCGCGATCCACGGCAGCACCGAAGGCTGGCAGAGGAGACGGCGTCGGAGGCACTGGAGCAGGTGAAGGTGAAGACGGTCCTGGTTGACAGAACGGCGGGGCAGCAGCAGCCACAACAGGGTGAAGAGGCACCCTTATGGGAACGCCGGCATCCTGAGCCACCGTCGCAGCCACAGAGCACGCAACAGCCAACGCCCCCGCAGTCGCCGCCACCAACATCGCCACCACCGAATTCACCGCCACAACAGTCGTCGCCACGACGGCAGGAGTCACCGAAGGAGCTGGTTGACAGACCGGCGGGCAGCAGCAGCCACAACAGGGTGAAGAGGGCACCCTTAAGGACGCCGGCATCCTGAACCACCGTCGCAGCCACAGAGCACGCAACAGCCAATGCCCCCACAGTCGCCGCCACCAAAATCGCCACCACCGAATTCACCGCCACAACAGTCGTCGCCACGACGGCAGGAGTTAAAGCGAAGGAGGCTGGTTGACAGACCGGCGGGGCAGCAGCAGCCACAACAGGGCGAAGAGGCACCCTTATGGGAACGCCGGCATCCTGAGCCACCGTCGCAGCCACAGAGCACGCAACAGCCAACGCCCCCGCAGTCGCCGCCACCAACATCGCCACCACCGAATTCACCGCCACAACAGTCGTCGCCACGACGGCAGGAATCACCAAAGGAGCCACCACAGGAACAGGCACAGCAGCCCCAGTGGGGTGGTCCGGAGAACGCGGTATGCGGGCAATTTGTGTCGCAAAGCGTTCACACGGCAGTGAGGAGTGGCATGGTATGGCACCACCAAACGATACACATCACGTGGGCGTCGGGAACCGCACCGTCGGATATAGCCACTATAACGTAATCTGCCAGTAAATATCCCTGTTTCACTCTAACTCTGAAGTTTCTTATCGGATCAGGACATGCCACGCCTCCTAGCCATCTGTACAACGTCCTGATTGTGTCAATGCCTTCTGGAGAATGTGCAGGATCTTTTGCAATCAATTTGCCTACGAAGCCCACGAAGGGAACGAGGAGGAGGCTTTGCCTCCTCCGAGGTCTTAAAGGTGAAGACGGTCCTGGTTGACAGACCGGCGGGGCAGCAGCAGCCACAACAGGGTGAAGAGGCACCCTTATGGGAACGCCGGCATCCTGAGCCACCGTCGCAGCCACAGAGCACGCAACAGCCAATGCCCCCGCAGTCGCCGCCACCAAAATCGCCACCACCGAATTCACCGCCACAACAGTCGTCGCCACGACGGCAGGAGTCACCGAAGGAGCCGCCACAGGAACAGGCACAGCAGCCCCAGTGGGGTGGTCCGGAGAACGCGGTATGCGGGCAATTTGTGTCGCAAAGCGTTCACACGGCAGTGAGGAGTGGCATGGTATGGCACCACCAAACGATACACATCACGTGGGCGTCGGGAACCGCACCGTCGGATAGCCACAAACGTAATCTGCCAGTAAAACGTTTCACCAAGGTTACGGACAGGACAGCCACGCCCCTAGCCATCTGTAGAACCCTGATTGGTCAATGCCTCCTGGAGCCACCGGATCGCAGCCAAATCAATTGCCTACGAAGCCCACGAAGGGAACGCACCAAATGCCACAGGAATTTGCCTCCACAACAGGTCGTCGCCACGACGGAGAGTACCGAAGGCCTGGTTGACAGACCGGCGGGGCAGCAGCAGCCACAACAGGGTGAAGAGGCACCCTTATGGGAACGCCGGCATCCTGAGCCACCGTCGCAGCCACAGAGCACGCAACAGCCAATGCCCCCGCAGTCGCCGCCACCAAAATCGCCACCACCGAATTCACCGCCACAACAGTCGTCGCCACGACGGCAGGAGTCACCGAAGGAGCCGCCACAGGAACAGGCGGAGGCGCAGCCACAACCGGAAGGGGACCGGGGAGCGGAGAGCCGCGAAGCAACGCAACGCGATCCCACGGCAGGCACCGAAGGCTGGCAGAGAAGACGGCAGTCGGAGCCACGAGGGCAGGTGAAGGTGAAGACGGTCCTGGTTGACAGAACGGCGGGGCAGCAGCAGCCACAACAGGGTGAAGAGGCACCCTTATGGGAACGCCGGCATCCTGAGCCACCGTCGCAGCCACAGAGCACGCAACAGCCAACGCCCCCGCAGTCGCCGCCACCAACATCGCCACCACCGAATTCACCGCCACAACAGTCGTCGCCACGACGGCAGGAGTCACCGAAGGAGCTGGTTGACAGACCGGCGGGGCAGCAGCAGCCACAACAGGGTGAAGAGGGCACCCTTATGGGAACGCCGGCATCCTGAGCCACCGTCGCAGCCACAGAGCACGCAACAGCCAATGCCCCCACAGTCGCCGCCACCAAAATCGCCACCACCGAATTCACCGCCACAACAGTCGTCGCCACGACGGCAGGAGTCACCGAAGGAGCTGGTTGACAGACCGGCGGGGCAGCAGCAGCCACAACAGGGTGAAGAGGGCACCCTTATGGGAACGCCGGCATCCTGAGCCACCGTCGCAGCCACAGAGCACGCAACAGCCAACGCCCCCG